AAGAAGAAGAAGAAGAAGAAGAAGAAGAAGAAGAAGAAGAAGAAGAAAAAGAAAAAGAAAAAGGAGGGGAAGGAGAAGGAGGAGGAAGGGAAGAATTAGAAGGAGAAGAAAATAGAAGAAGGAGAAGAAAAGGAGGAAGAAGAGAAGGAAAAAGGAGGAAGGGGAAAAAAAGGAAGGCCATTGAAACATTTTAAAAAATACACAGAGAACACATAAAAGTTCAGGAAAAAGCATAGATAAGTAGGGCAGTTTTGAGAGAAACATGCTGAATGTATTATATCCTTTTAAAATAAAAAGCAGACAATACGTAAGAAAGATTTATGGTTTAATATACAATCTATTTTTTGTCTTCCACTGTGTATAGAGAAATGCTTATGTCTGTGTTTACATTCCTAAAAGAATCAAATAAGAAAACTTCTTGGAAAATCATAAATTTAATGGTTGTGTTTAAGAAGTTGAATGGACTGCTCAATTAGAAATATAAAAATAGATAGTAAGCAGAAGCATATATTGGTCTTCTCCAACAAATAGGAATGCCTGAGTTTCCTCAGCTTTCAATCTACTGATTAAAAATTAACTATATTGGTACACGCAGGATAACTGCAGGTTAGAGGCAAACATCAGGAAAAGCCGAGCAGACAATCATCTGCTTTGGAAGTTTGTGGCCAAGGGCATGCTTTCTTGCTTGGATAATGTAAGTAATTATTCACTTCCCTCTGAGCACCCAGACATTGATCCAGTGGCAAACAGCCTCTCCTCAGGAATCCCCTTCCACAGCCCTTCCCCCACCTCTGTTCCATTTAACCAGTATGCATGGTGCCATGTTTGGACAACTATGCAGTGAATGTACTCTCCACAGACTGGCTCCGTACTAACCAATCACTGGATATTGGCAGCTAAGGGTCACTAGTGACCCCACCTGGCAGAGACAAGGTAGGGCACCTGAGCTACCCACCCTTGGTTTTATTCTGACCCCTGCAAGATCAATTTTGTGTTAGCAACCTCTGGTCACCAACGTTCACTACGTCTCTTTTATCACTGTGTGCCATTATTCATTGGAAAAGGAAAATAAGTGGTAGAGTTGATATGGTCTAGAGGATCAGATACTGTATTTCTAGTCACAAGATCTGGGTTTGAATTTTGGCTCACCACTTCCTAGCACCCTGTGTGACCTTGGCTAATTCCTTTTACCTCTTTGGGCTCCTGTTTCCTTACTGATCTGCATGAGACCTTCCAGCTCTAGATCTCATGTTCTAGATCAATGGTTTCCAAAGTGGGGCCCTCCACCCACAGTGGGACATCTCTGGCATGGCCCAAGGGGGGTGGGCCATGACCTAATGGGTAATCAGATGGAACATGGGAAGATGGGTAACACTCCAACCCTGTCACAAGGGCTTTGGGGGATGGAACTCATCTCCAATACAACCTCACTTCTCTACCCCCAACTTCACTCATCTTCCAACTTGCCCCAACAATAATGCTGGCCCACCTCAGCAGGTCTCCTATCCTGGGCTAGCACTTGGCATGTCTGCCTCTGCTTTAGGCATCAGCTCCCAGACTGGCTATATCTTATACCTTTCTACCTAGTTCCGGTATAACTAGGTGGTATAGTGTGCAGCTAAATGGCTGAACTACAACAACAACAAAATAGCTGTGGAAACAGCAGAGCAGCTACACTCCCTCACCCATCACCATACCCTGCCTTCCCAGAACCCTCAGGGCTCTGGCAGGAGCTCCTGGGCAGGCCGTGTCCAGAGATTGAGACCATCCCTCACTCCAGATTTTTCATTTTTGGTGGGACAGAGTGAGTCACCCAGGATAATGAGTGGCACTTTGCAGCACGGATCTCGTTACATTATCTTCCTCTCCGCCCCACACCCTCCTCCTCTTCCAAGCTCTTCAAGGGCATCACCATCTTTCTTATCACCAGGATTGGCAAACAGAACTCATTCTTGACCCCCACTCATCCTGGCCCCACAATCTAATCTCTCACTCAGTTTGGCCATCCCATATCCTCAAGATTTCTCATATCTGTTTCCTTCTCTCTACTCATATAGCTCCCACCCTGGCACAAGGCCTTACTGCCTCCCTCCTGGCCAACACATTGTTGCCTTCTCATGGTTCTTCCTGTCTCCAATCTCTCTTCTCTAGAATCCATAAGCGCACAGCTGTGAAGTGATTATTCCTCAAATGTAGCCTCATGAAGTCACTCCCCCACTGCCGATAAATGACCATTCATGGACTCTAGGATCAAGCATTACTTTATCTTTATCTTATCCTTTAAAAATGCCTGTATTGTATGTATAATTGTGCATAATTACATAATGTACATATTCATATAATGAATATAATTATTAATACAGCAGTACATGTACATAGTTTATAAATAAGTAAATAGGAACATATTTAAGGTACAGATCAAACTTTTTTGTTGATAAGGGTATTCAAGCAAAAATATTAAAACTGATCATTTTCCTGGAAGTCTTGCTAATGTTAGCTGTTAGTTTAAAATTTCCACTAGGTGGCAGGATTCCACCATTATTTCCTAAGCGATCTCCCTGACGTTTCAAGTACAGCAAAGTTGTACTTTCTTCTGGCTGCCAATTTTTACAAGGTAAAGGCGGGAGTGGGGGAGGGAGAGGAGGTGGGCAGGGAGGGAGGAGATAATTACCAAGCACAGTGGACTATCAGCTTGATAAACCTCTAGAATAAAAAAAAATTTAATGATAATAAGAGCACATGATGAAGGCTATTCTTTCCTGTAGTAAAATGACTCCTTACATTTTAAACCCTTTAAACAGAAGTTCATGCTTAATTATCCTAGTATAGCTGAAGCCTGGTTATCCAAAAACATTATCTTGGGCAGGAATAAACTGTCCTAGGCTACCTTCTAATCTAATGACCAAACAGTGCACGTTTCAAAAGCTGAAAATGAAACTCTTAAATAATGAACTTTGGGTTACTTAAGACACCTTTCTTATAATAGTTTGATCTCCTCTACACATAGGGTGGCCTGCATGTCAAGTGCAGTTCTACCCTGCATAGCAGAACAAACGAGCTGCTTGCTAATGGATTCTGTGCCTATCAGCCTTAAAAGGCCTCTCTGTGACATAAGCATTGTGACATCTTGAGTCCTCGGCGCTCGTTACACCCCTGCCCCAAACCGCTGAAGGATGGGTGCCACTCCAGGCATCTCTCAAGAGATCCCAGGTCACCCAGCCAATGGCTTATGCCCAACAGCAAAGCCTTTTCTCTTTCCAGGACCAAGATGGCCCAGGTCCTGGTCTAAGACTCAGCTGAGCTGAGCTTCAGAAACCTCAGATGCCTAACCTCTCCCAAGGTGCTCAATGAGAGATGACCCCAGTCAGCTTCTCCCCATCTCTGGCTGGGGGAAATGTATTGATCTCAACCGTCACTTGTAACTGCAACACACACCCATGTATGGATGCATCTTTGTACATTTGCCTCTATCTACGTCTCCTGTCCCTGCCGATGTCTCAAGCCATCACAGACACTGAGGAGAGGAGAAGCCCAGCCCAGCCCAACAGCACCGCGAGCTCTGAATCTGCCCTTAAAGGACTCCAGTGGCTGTATGGGCAGGCATCTCCTTCTCTGCCCCGGCCAGGGCTCCCCTGCCTACTTCCCTGCTCTTCAGAGGGCAGGGCGCTGCCTACCTTGGCCACTTGTAGAGGTTGGTTCTGTTCCTTGCCACCATGCAGGCGGAAGCCCCAGGGCGCCCCTCCGGTCATGGAGATGCAGAGAAAGTCCCCCGTGCCCATGGTGTTCCAGTCAGGGGGCCCACCAGCATGAAGAGCTGGGAACAAGAGGCGCCAGTCCCGGTGGGTGCCTCTGGAGATGTGCGCTGGCTTCGGCTTCAGGGCGGCTGCCAAAGAGAGATCAGCTGCGCAGGCAGGCATGGAGCGCCCTCCCTACTCTCCCTCCCTCTTTCTCAGTCCCTCCTTGACTGCCGCCCTCTCTGCTGTAGCTCATGAATATGTTAATGAGAGAGGGAGAGAGAGAGAGAGAGAGAGAGAGAGAGAGAGAGAAGCAGAGTCTGAGAGAGAGGAAGGAAGAAACAGCTAGAGACACAGAGAAAGAGAGAGACAACTAGACAGAGGGAAGGAACGTCAGAGACACAAAAAGGGGGGCGTAGAAGGAGAGACGGGAACACCAAGAGAGGGAAGACAGAAACGGGGTGGGGGAGAGAGGAGAGAAAGACAGAAACAGCCAGAGTCCCTGGGCTTTCTTGATCTGACAGAGAAGGGAAATGATTCTGTAACCCTAAAACATATACAGTCCATCCATACCCAGGATCTCCGACTTCCATTGACTATGCATGCACAGAAAGGACCAGCACATTCCAGTGCCCACTTTCTGCCCTCTTAAAACATGCTCAGCACAAGCTGCCAAATAGAGAAGAGTTTATACTTGTTCTGCAGCCATGGCACTAAGTATTGGG